CCAATACGTTCATCACTGTCCATGTCTAGCCATGACCATGCTATATATCAGATGGGGAAAGACCTGGACCCATTGGAGCGGGGCCAGAGGAGGCCCCAGCAATGATCCGAGGGCTGGAACCCCTCTGCTGGGAGGAAAGGCTGGGAGAGCTGGGGCTGCTCAGCCTGGAGAGGAGAAGGCTGCGGGGAGACCTTATTGCGGCCTGCCAGTAATTAAAGGGGGCCTATAGGAAAGATGGGGACAACCTTTTTTTTTTCAAGGCCAGGCTGGATGGGGCTCTGAACAACCTGATCCAGCTGAAGCTGTCCCTGCTCGCTGCAGGGGGTTGGGCTAGATGGCCTCTAAAGGTCCCTTCCAACCAGTACTGTTCTATGATGCTATAAATTGTGTGAAACTTTATTCTGTAAAATATTGGACTGTCATTTGCAGCTGACCAAACCAAATGTCCTGAAGGCATTACTTGGATTGCTCTAGAGAGCTGCATCCCCTGTACTTGTGTCAATGGCGGCCAGATGGGGGGAGATAACGACAGAGGTCCTGCAGAAAGGCTGCTGGAAATGTGGAAACAGTCTGAAAGCATTGAAATGGAATATGGAAAAAAGCTTGGAGGGGACTGGCAGTCACGTGATCTTTAACTGAGCAAAATTGTGTGTTGTTTGCAGGTCTGATTCAAAACTGGAAGGAAGTACTGGATTTGTACTTGAAATTATTTGAGTTCCCTAGTTTTATACAACTGTCACTTCTCCAAAATATTGATAAGTTCTTACTGTCTTGGCTCCACTTCATCTTTGTGGTTCCTTTGAATTTGGCCACAGGTCAGGTGAGGGGAAATGCAGAAATGACAGCAAAATACCATGACAGAGAGGGGATGGCGATTTATCGCTTTCCCCTTACACGCACAACTGTTTTTCAGTGGTTCTTATTTGAAGTGTTCCAGAAGAACAGCAGGTGGAAGGGGCCTGGCGCGGCCGCCAGCTCACAGCACACCCAGCTGCAGTTTGACCTGCTTGTTCAGGGCGTTGCTCTGGTGAGTTTTAAATGTATTCAGGGATGGGGATTCAGCAGCCTCTCCATGTGAGCTGCTCGGCCACCTGCACTATGGACCTGTTCTGCTTGTGTTGGGTTGGGGTTTCCCCTGCTGCAGCTGTGTCTGCTGCCTTTCGTCCTATTGCTGTGCACCGCCAAGGAGGGTCTGGCTGTCTGCTCTGTAAGCCCAGGAGATGGTTCTTGTTTCAAGTTAGTCTTTGCTTCCACTTAGAAAACGCTCAGTGGTTCCTGTGACTTTCCTTACCTATTTTTCCCCCAGCCTGAAGATGAGACTGCACAATACCTACTCAGAGGCGAGGTGGGACGTGACTGAGCTTACTGTCTGTCACCTCCCCTTGCCCTTCGGTGCTTCTGCGTAGGCAGAGAATGGGGAAGAAGCCACGCCTCAATCAGCAATATTCTGCTGAAATTAATAAATTGAATTTCTAAATGTAAGGAAGTAGGTGGAAGGCCCGGTAGTTGCTTACGAAAGGAAGGAGATGATCTGCCTAGTGATGCTGAATGCTCAGAGGGAGATGGCAGTAGCAGAAGTGGCTGTGAAAAGTGAGGCACCGGCTCCCTGCTGATGTCCTCTCCTAGCTTCAGGGTGTTGGGCTCGTTCCCGTGCCCGGGCAGCGCAGGGGCCAGCCCCAGCTAAGGAGGCAGAACCTGCTCCTGTCTGTGCCGAGTTGTGTGTGTTGTTGTCACAGTCCCAGCTGTCTGGAACGTGCTGTCGGGGAGAGGATGCTCTTGTCAACTCCAGGCTGGTGGTGCAGGCAGCGTGAAAGCCCCAGAGTGTAGCCTGGAGGGATGCTTCGCGCTCTCCTCCCTGCTGGGGATACTGCTAGCGGCGCAAGCTGTTCTGGGACACTGAGGCCCTGAGGCTTGAACCCTACGCAACAAGCAGTTGCGGAGCGCGCTGTGCGTAGGGGGCAGAGCCGTCTGAGCCACACAGACCAATGTCGTCTTCCTCGGGCTGCCCCTGAGATGAGTTGCCCTGCCCTGCTCCTCATCACACCGTCCCAGCCAGCGCTGCGGGCGGGTCAGCCCTGGGGGAGGTTTTATCTGGGAGGAGTTGTGTCAGCCAATTTTCCTTTCTTTTATGGTGCTTCTCTCTGTCAATAACATGAAAACACGGTACCAGTTTCAGCTCCCGGAGCAGCAGCAGAAAGGCTGTTGCTGGTGACGACTGCCTGGTTAGCAGGCGTGCGAGCTCCAGCTGCTCAGCGTGGGTGCGAGCGTGGCCCGGCGGGCTCTGTGCCGGCTCGGCGTGGGCTCACCTCGGACTCGTCCTCCACAGCCCAGCCCTGCGGATCGCTCAGCAGGCCACCGTGCTGCCT